TGATGGATGGATGGACTGATGGATGGATGGATGGATGGACTGATGGATGGACGGATGGATGGATGGACTGATGGATGGATGGATGGATGGACTGATGGATGGATGGATGGAATAACCTGGTCATTCAGTATATTCAGGTTAGCTGACCTCATTCTTTGAGCACCTGAACCTAGACCTGACCACCTGCAGAGACCCCTCATAGTAGACCTTAGTTAAATCCAGATGTCCATGCAGTGCATTTGACATGATGAAGTATTTGGTGAAAACTCTAACAATAACAGTGGTAACCATTTGTGGTTCTGTTCTCAGTACAAATACACAGAACAGAACCACATATTGTGCAGAGTAGAGACCCTTCCTCCTTCTCACAACAACTTGATTCAAGTTTGACCTTTCATCAGCTGGTATGCCTTACAGTGGAGCTGTTTAAGGAACCTCAGGAASACGTTCTCTGAGGTTTTATGTTGACTAGTTTCTGTTTGGAGTCAGGCTGGACATTTGTTTGAATCTCTGTCTCTCTACTTTTATCTTTACATCACCATTCAGCTTCTGGTGAGTAATTAGTTTCTTTATTTACAGGTAATACCAAAGTTCCTCCTGAGTATCACCTGCAATACTTGAACCACAGTTTCAGAATTAAAGCTTTGTTCATCTAGGAGATGTTCTCATGTGGATTGTACAGATTAAAGTTAGACGTGTTACCTGTTACCCAGTTTAGCCACTGACTGGATGAATCAGGGTGTCTCAGCTGACAGAACTGAACCTGGATCTGGCCTCCTGCTGTAGGTCAGATCCAGACAGAATGAGTAACTTAATGAGTCCAGAGTCCAGAGGAAGCAGGAAACACCTGGTTCTCCTGTAAATCAGTAATTCTGTTTTATACAGCAAGAGACAGATTTGATCAAGACTGATGTCAGTGTGACCTGAATGTGGCAGTGTTCTACCTCTGATCCACAGATTAACACGCACCTGTTCTCTCAGGCAGCACACCTGTTCAATTACACAGCATGTGGAAGCAGAATTATGGTGTAAGCAATAAAATATTTTCCATGAATCCATCATATCACTAATGTGTTTTCTTTCTTTGTTTTAGAAAAAGATGTCAGCACCTCCTCTCCTCGTCCTGGAGTCTGTGTGCCATCCATCTCCTACATCACTGCTAAACCCTGGACCTCCTCACCTGCTCCAGCCTTCACAGCAGGGGTTCGGATGGCTCCTTTGGTTCCTCGAAGTCTAACAGAGTCTTTGCTGCAGGACTTTGAAGAGCATCAAGCCAAACTGAAGCTAGAAGAAAGCTCTGTGAGTCTTCACTTCTGCTCTTGTTTTGATAGTTTGTAGTTTTCTGTTTCCTGGATGTGAGGAAGAGTGTGAAAACAGAACTTTGTATCTGGTTTAGGTTCAGTGTTGTCATGACTTCTGTCTGTGTTTCAGTACGCAGGAATCCACCTGGTTGATGACATCAACAACGAGGTAACAGTACCATCACTAAACCCAGTACTGCCAAAAACTCTGTACCACTACTAAATCCTGTACCACCATTAGTTCCAGTACCATCAGTAAAGCCAGTATCACCACTAAACCCAGTACTGTCATTAAACCCTGTAATAATAATAATACATTTTATTTATAAAGTGCCTTTCAGGACACCCAAGGATGCTGTAGAATAGAAAGAAACAAATGTAGATACATTAAATGATAGAGTAGTGCGGGAGAAGCAAAGAAATGTGGAGTACAGAACAGTCATATAATAAAGTAAAATGACCAACCAACAGGAGTTCACAGTGGTAGGCTAATCTGAGAAGATGTGTCTTCAGACCAGTCTTAAACTGGGACAGAGAGGTGATGTTGTGTAATCCATGGAGCAGTGAGTTCCAGAGCTGAAAGCTCTGCTC